TTTTTCAAATTATTGCTACATTGTTGCACAGAACTTGTGAAACATTAAAAACACTGTGTAAAAAAAAACTTATTCATAATAATCTATTGTCAGTGACCATCATGTTAGATGATTTGGGACATTCTTACCAGGAATTATAGACAAAAGTTTGAAATTTTACCAGCAAATTCCTAAGTTCAAGCTTAAATTCCAAAACTTCTCATCATGTTTAAATGAGTTAGGTACAGGAATACTCCTCTTAATAGGAGCCTTAGTATATCGCCTTCAGCCTAGTGAAAGCATGAAATGACTCATGATACTTACTGAATATTTTTAAAAGGAATTCCTTGAAAAAAGTCCCAGTATTTAGGAACTCCGATGTTACCAAGATTCAGTATTAGACTGTTATTATTCACAATCAAATTTTTAGGCAAATGACATATTTAGGGCTCAATATTTTTATGTTTCAGAAGGAAAAATTATTTTCTTTTTTAAAAAAGTTCATTATTTCCTTTGACAAGTATAAAACAATAATCCTGTCCAATCAGTCCATAATTAGACCTGAATCATGACATTATTGTTATACAAAGAACCATTTCAAATGTTTTAAGAGGATTTAATTCAGTGCTAATCACAGTTTCTCTCTTCCTTGATCTTAAAATTTTTGGAGACAGTAGTTCAGGCAGATTTGGCTGCAAATTAAAAAGGAGATAAAACAATGCAATTTTTATATCCTCTGTGACTCATTTTTTGGTGAAGCATTTCACAGTACTCGTGTATATAACACAATACTCAACTGCTGCACACAGAGCACTTGTATTTTGGACAAGGCAGCAAACACAGCACTGCGAGCTCTGGAAACAGCCTGAAATGTGGACAAAACACAATGGCTTTGGAAAGCCACATGAGCTGTTTCACAAATGTAACTTAGATATCCAGCAAACGCAGAAAGAACAACTTTGTTATGCTGTCTGGCCCAGAAAGCAATGCTTTTAGCATGTGTGGCTAATAGGAGCCTTAGCTGCGCTTGATCACTTCCCCCATAAGCTGTTTAAACACGAGGCATTAGGCTGGAAAGCTGAGCACTTTCACAGAGGATGGGGGTTAATAATTTACAGTGCAAAATCCTGTTTGATCTGCTGAGAAATTCAATCCAGCTGGAGCATAATTTTGTTTAATAGCACGGTGGGCGAGGAGGTTGCCAGAGGTGGGATGCTTCCCTGCTGGCAGGGGCCAGGCTGCTGGAGCTGGCCCATGTGCCAGCACCTGGAGTTCTGCTGTCTCCCCTCCTCATGGGCTGCTCCCTTTCGCTGTGTTTAACACACGCATGTGTGTTCATGCCTGACTCCATTTTCTCTGGCAGCTGCTGCAGGTGAGCTGTGGATGCATCTTTGGAAGTCTCCCAAGGCACAGATACTCCAGCCCAGCAGAAGGAGCCTCACTCTCCAGGTGGAGGCTCCCCAGCTGAGAAATGTGCCAATAATGAGGGCAGAGAAGCCGAGCTCTTCCCTGGTGTGCTGATGCCCAGGTACACGCACTGCTGTGCGTGCCTCTGAGGGCTGCCTGTCAAAGCCAGGAGCACAAGGAGCTCCAGAGGCAGGATTTCCTCTCGTGCCCATCCCAGACATGGCAATCCACTGCGTGCTTCCTTGCAATGTCTAGGGCTGCGCCTTTCAGGAGAATGGAAAATTTGTCAAAATGTTGCCACTTTAACAGAAAGCTGGGTGAGTTCCCTTGTTCTCAATAGAATGTACCTTTCTTTTACTGCTGCAGAAAGCAGCTGATCATATTTTGTGGGACTCACATTGTTTTTACAGTACTTTGCCTCTGGAATAAACCAGAGCATATTGCATGTCAAGAATGGCAAGGATTTTGTGGTGGAAGACAGGCCATGGATTTCCATGGATGCTCTTTCTTTCCTTCAGACATCTGAGAGAAGTTGAGTGCTACACTGTGCCATCAGAGACATAGTAGCTCCTCAAAAATAGAAAGGATTGTCATTTGTCTCTTTAAAGTGTATTTAACATGCACTTGCCTATTTGGGTTGTTAAAGCATTTCGTCAAGCAATTGTGCAACACCTCATCCCAACACACAACTGCAGCCCTTTGCTGTAATACAAACAGTGATGATGAATTAATGTCTGGCTTGGCAATATTGCTACAGTCTCCGATTCTGAGAAAGTGTTTTCGTTTAGAGAAGAGAAATCAAATGGCAGATTCCACTGTCTCTCACCCTTCCTGTCTGTGAACAAGCTGGTCCTTGTTTGTAACCCTGTGTAACTTGCTCTGGGGGAGGAGGCACTGTGAAGCCCCTCACAGTAATTGTAATAAGGGCAGCACATCAGTAGTTATTTGTTGGGGATTTTTTAAACTAGCTGTTTCAAACGGAGAAGGAAAGAGTTTCTTGAAAACCAAATACTAAGATTTTACAAGTAGAAAGAGCAGAGCAGGCAGAGGGGAAATGCATTACAAACATGATGCTCTTTCCAAACCCAGAATCACCAGCACAGAAGTAACAATGTGCTGTTGTTCACCTTCCAAAGTCTGGAACTGTTTCTGTACATGATGCAGAGGGGATAGTCAGAATCCCTGGATAATCAGCTTTGTCAGCTGGGCTCTCACAAGGCAAACACAGCTTCCTGAGACTGCTCAGCCTGAACTCACATAACACCCTGGCTGAGACCAAGAAGGTGACTGGTGTTGCTCAGAAGAACCTTACCAAAAATAAACATCCACGGAGCCATGGAGTCACTGCTCTTCAGTGCTGCTCTCAGGGGCTCACTGAGTTTCCTGAAGACACAAAATCAACCAGGAGGAAGCACTTGTAGTCCACTGGAATTGTTGCATTGCTGTGCTCTCTGAGAAAGGACCAGACTTTAAACTGGGGAAGTTTCTAGGCATGTATTTCTGTCCATGCTACAAAGAGCCATGGCAGGCAAGGGTTAGTAATGTTCTTTCCTTGTTTTTCATATTGTACATACATCAGGGTATGATCATGAATTCACACACTAATTTTGTTCAGCGTCCTCACAGCCTCAGAGAAAGCAAAGGCAGGGAGCCTTTGCAAGCAGCATTTGATACCTGCAGACTTGTGGGTTGAGTCAGAGAGCTGGGATAAGTGAAAGGGATATCCCATCATTCCTAGAAATGTTGAAGTTATAGACACAGAGGGACAGCCAAGACAGCAGGATGTGAGGAGTGCTTAGAGGAGTGAAGGAGCGAGGACAGCATGGGTAGCCTTGCTTAAAGGAAGGTATACTTCCTTTTTATATATCCCAGCTGCTGCTCCCTCAGCAAGCTCAGCTCACAGACTGCAAAGTCTGCATGACAGAACAGCAGCTGGGAGATATAAAGGCAGGGATTAAAATGAAGTGTGTGTATTTTAAAACATGAAAACCCTGCAGCAGGGTCCAACCCTCCTTGTCTTTTGCCCTGCCCTGACTACACCAGCACCATTAATCTCAAGGAAAAACTAGATTGGCCTTTGAGCTAGGGCTTTCCTCTCTGATTACAATGTTTGGACTGCACAGTGCTGGCTTAGCCCCAGATGCTGGAGCATCGCAGGCACGCCCATTCCCAGACGGTGGATGCTGTGTTAAGGGACTGCCACCTGGCAGCATCTCCAAGGAACTGCAAAAACACTTCCCAGAGACAGAGGTTAGTGAGCATCAGCCTGCAGAGACTCGTGGTGCACCCAGGAAAGAGAGATCAGGTCTGGTTGAGCCAGACTGATGTTGCTGACTGACAGAGCTGGCGTTGAGGGGCTGCTGCTGTGATGAAAGACACTAGGCCAGGGAAACATTCATGGGGACAACCTTATCAGGGACTTTCCCACTCACTGAAGAAGTTGTTCCTCCTTTGAGAAAAATCCCGTTGTTTTCCCTGTCTTACTTCAAGTTGGCTGAAGATGCCTAGCCTAGTTGTACTCAGTCATGGTCTGTTTTTAGGTAAGAGCTAAGCTTTTGATTTGTGAAGATACACTTGAAAGGTAGGTCTCACCTTGTCCCTATTCTTCTAGCTAAAAAAAGAAGAACAAACGTGAGAACTGTACTGAAGAGTGGTGTGGGATGAAGAAAAATAAAATAATCTCTCTTGATCAAGACCCAACCCAATAACCCAACTTCCTTCATTTTGAAGTCTTCAATACTGCCCTCTTACCTGAGCTACTCTTTCCTTTTGTTTTGTGACAAGCTGGCAGATGAAACAACAGCATCTTTTCAACACATTCTCTGGATATTTCCCCCAGATGAGACTCTCAGACAAGTTGCCTAAAGCTTTCTGAACCAGCTGAATTTGAAAAGGAGCATACAAAAGGCAGTAAGAAATTTCTGTAACATTTCAGAAGACTTCAAACAGGAACACTTTGGAAAGTTTACTGTGCTACCCAACATCATAGGAAACAAACTTCCAAACTTTTGTTTGTAAAGAGACCTGCATGAACTAGACAAATTTGAGGCTTAGCTGAGCCTGAGATCCTTTTGCCAATGCACGTTACTATGCTTAGAACATGAAGTGCCCTTGACAGGTAGTACAAAGTTTGGTTATCTATTCATAATTCATGTATAAATTTACATACAGAGGAAAGCTCAAGAGAGACGGAGAGCTGAAGAGATTAAGTCACTTTTTAGAGTCAGCACAGTGGATTAAGGTCCTGAATGACATCATTAACAAACCTTCAGCTCTGACTTCATTGGATCATTGCTAGCTATGATATCTTAGCTAAACCTGCTGAGCCAAGAATGCCCTATGTGTGTTCATATATTAAGGCCATGAAGAAGTTGATCAGTGAATACCAAATGGACATTTTTTACCGAGAAAGTTACAAAAAATCCCACTCTGCCATTCACACAAGTTGTCTGACAGACTCCAGCTGGGGGCCAGAGCTGGTTACCCAAATGTGAAAGCATCTGTGCACCCCCTGCAGATTACCCGTGATTCCCTGAGAATTCTCATGGATTTATGAGAATCCATGATTCCCTCAGCTCCCAGGAGGTGAACTAGTGGGGATCAGGGTGACTCACCAGTCCGTGTGCGCGTCATCGATCACCAGGAGGACCTTGGGTTTCGGTGCCGCGGGGGGCGCGGGCCCGGCCGAGTGCTCCATCAGGCCCGCAGCCGCCTGCGTGGTTTGTTTCATGGCGCTGGAGATGGAGCTGAAGATGCTGCTGCCCGTGGAGGAGGAGTGCGAGGGCTGCGGCGGCTGCAGGTGCTTCCTCTCCGTGGCAGGAGACACCGGGGAGCTCGTGGAGCTGTCGGGGCGCTGCAAGTCCATCATGTACCCGTTGGGCAGGTTTGCCACGAAGCTGCTGTCTGAGAGACGCCGCCGGAGGAAATTCATCTTTGCAGCGCTGAGGGGAAACTGAACGGTGCTGTTGCCAGTCCTGGAGGATGCCTCTGTGGCCGTGTGGGTGCTTCTTTAAAGTCCAGGCAGGCAGGCTTTACCCCTTGAAACTGTGCTGGAGATCTATGCCTAATTTTGTCAGCTATATTTTCCTTCTCTCCTGCGGGAAGAGAATCAAAGACATATATGTGAGGTACATACTGTGAGACTGAGTTAAGTAACCTCCTTTGGGTGTCTTAGACAGGTGCCTTAATCAATGTAAGAAGGGACTGCTGGTTGCTATGTAGTATTCCACACTGCTACAGTCAAACAATTAGGACAAAATATGTGTCACCATTGTCATCCCCAAACATTCTCTGATCTGTAGAGACCAGCCTGCACTAGCTTAGGGGCTAACAACTCGATCACTGTGGACAAAGAAAAAATTACTCTGATAAATGTTAATTTTAAAATGAGAAGCACCTTATTTCTAGTATCTTGTGTGTTGAAAATTACAGAATCACAAGCAAATAATCCAAATGGATATAAAGTTGTATCATCTTTGGTAGGCTTGTGAGCAAAGTTTTGAATGTAAGGAACAAATGTCCAAAATTTAAATAGGACTTAAATAAAAAATAGCAGAATAATTCCAGATCAAGTTCAGTGACAGAAATTACACTTTTCTGCTCCTCCTCCTCTCTGCACTCAGACTCTGAGCCAGGTCCTTGCTGGTGGTTGTTTTGCAGGCCATCTGATTTTTGACATTCACTTGTAGGAATTTTGCAGTTACTCAAAACTAGAAACTTGCCTGTCTAATCTTCATACAGTTTTTTTCCTCTCTCATTGGTGTTTTTGGTTTGTTTGGTTTGTTTCGTTTTAACGGGAATTTATTCTGCTCTTCTCTTCAAATGAGAAAACTAACATGGTGAAATATAAGTACTTGACTCTTCTCCCTTGACAATTAAATAATCTCACAATTTAAAAAAAAAAATCACCTCTAGGCACACCCCAGAAGACAGACTTCCACAGTAATTTCCTGAGAAAATTTTATCTGCTAAGACAGCCTTTGAGTCTTGGTTGGTGAGATTAAGGGGAAAAACAACAAAAAATTAATACTGGTAAAACACATATGTTCTTTGAGACATACATATTTGCAGCAACAAAAACGAGTGTTACCTCATACATCAAGTGAGAAGAGTCTCATGCATCCATGGTATCATTGTTTAAATTATGCCTAACTCCCTTCAAGTCTCTTTGAATGACCCCCTGCAAATAGTGGAGCTCCTTGCCTTCACCTGGTTTGGTGTCTCTTACTGCTCACCCTCCTGTCCCAAATTCTGATTGCCTCCTGAGGGCAGAAAATTGTCTTTCCCCAGCTGTCCAAGAAGACAAATTGAGAATGTCTCTTCTGGAGCTGTGGGTGAGAGCTCATGGAGCAACCAAACAGCTTTCTAAAAATAAGCTCTCCTTCATTTTCACCTGCAGGGATTTGCAAAGCTTTGCAGACAAAAGAGTCAGACCACATTGGTCATAACCCCCAAACCCTTAGAGAGGCTCAGATGAGCCTACCTGGAAGTAAGCAAGCTACAAAAAGCCCCTTGGCACATCCCCAAATCTCACTATCCATCACCACCCTCAATCTGCGGGCACAGGATCCATCCAGAGCAGAGGGCTCCCTACTGGAGCTGCTGACCCTGGCTGATTAGAATAATTTTTCTTTTGATTTCTAAGCCCTGGCAGTGCAAGTCCTCTGACTTTGCTGGAGCCTGGAGGTAGTCTTTTCCCAGGGAATGGCTCAGGAAATCTTTAATGACTTCCTGCCACATTCACAGCCGATAATGTATCTCGGGGTATTGTGCTGACTTCCCGCCTCCTGGTGACTGCTCAACATCAGCAACACACACCAGGGAGCACTTCAGTAGCACTGCCTGCAGCAATTGCTCCAAAAGGCAGGTAATGGAGAGTACCCACGAATTGTGAGCGGGCTACTTACCCCATATATACACCCACACAATACTTGTCCTGCTGCAGGAATGGTGAGTGCCAGCGCTGAGCCATCCACTGTTACCTGTCCAGGATGATGGGGGTGGAACAGCCTACAAAGGCTTTGGGGGATTTATATGCCACAGACTGGGTAAAAATGTGCTGTGCTGTCCTCTAATCAGGAACCTGTGTTTTCTCCTTCATACAAATAAGAAAAATCCCCTCCCCTGAGTGACAATTCATTCGGGAGTAGGTGCAGTCCTGGTAAAAGAGGAGTATCCCAGAGATCTGCCCACTGTCAGAAGGGCTCCAAATGAGTACCCCATTGCTGTGTACAGCTATCAGGCATGCTCTCTTCTAGGGCCTTGGTGTTAACTGGCAAGACCTGGGGCACAAATTTGATACTGGCCTTGGGAGAAGCACTTGCAGCACAAGATCCCTGCTCTTTGAACGACTTGCACATCACAGAGCTGCTGGTTCCTGCTGTGGCAGCTCTCAGCCACGGGAGGGAACCTGCCCCCAGCCATACAGGCTGGAGAAGGCTCTTGGCACAAGCCAGCATCCTTGGGACAGGGTCCATAAAGACTTCCATTTTTGTCAAGGTGCTTCTTCCTCTCTGCCAGGTGTTTGCATAGCTGCTTCCTCCCCTGAGAGATTTGCACTCTCCAAATGAACATGGATAACTTGCAAAGCATCAGCAAGTAAATGAATGGGCAAATGTCTCTGCTAGGCCCTGCAGTGAGGGAAGAACAGCATGAAGGCTCATGACCTAGGGTGTCCCAAGGCTGTGAAGGGCCAGAGTATTCCATGAGGTCCATGGAAGGCACACAGTTTTCCTCTTCAACAGGACTTCCCAAATTGTACTCAGTGCTTGCACTAAACAATTTATCATACTTAGTGCAAGGCCATGACCACTCTGATCCTGGCCCCTTTTAAACAGGAATGTTTGCAGTGACCTGTCATTTTTTTCCACCAGGGGTTTCATAGTGGGAGCTTTTGCCCAGGAAATGCTGGGAGCTGGCAAAATTCTCTTGTCTAGAGAGTTTGGGACATTGCACTTAGTCTGGCCTTTCCCTGTGCTGGTTGGCACAGCCTCCACTCTCTGCTAAGACTGGGCTGCATGCCGTTGGCTTGGGGAGGAAGGAGAGGAAACCTAAGCTCTGATGTCACAGGGAAATCTCCCTCTGGCAAAGCACACAGAGGTTAAAATCAATGGATGACACTGCAGCAGAGAGCAACGCCTGGCTCCACTCTGGGGTTCCTCAGCTTTGGGCACCTCAGAGTGATGCTCCTCCTCTCATTACATACATTTTTCTAATGATAGGCTAATGTAATTGAAAAAGTTTGTTGTTTCTTTGGTTTGTTTTGTGTTTTTTTTTTTTTTTAGGCTTCACTGTATCGATTTGTCAATTGCCATTAGCGCCACCACAGAGATCTTCTCTGCAATGGGAGCAGTGCAAACTGCCAGGAGCTTTTCTGCCAGCAGTTTACACTGCTTTCATTGCTGGAAAACCTCATAGTCTGCTTTTGCATCACTCACACTTACTGTTATTTAACTTTCAGAAGTAGGTGTTTTCATTCAGGCACAGGCTGAGTAGGTTAGGGCCTCATTTTCCTACAGCTTGAAACTCTCTGTGGACTTGCTGAGGGCTCAGCCTGTCAGGCCAAATCTGGCTCTGTAGCTCTTATGCAGCACAACATCCACCCAGTGCACGCACAGATCTTACCCTGGCAAGTGAGCAGGGCTGCAATTTTCATTTTCACAAATGCAGGAGCCTACACCTCCATCAGAAGCAAGACAGATCTGCTGAGTGTTTTTTGTCACTCCAGAGCCACAGGCAGGAGAGCTGCTGGCTCTACACCATCAAGTCATACGTTCCCTGTGTACACCAGTCTCCGTATGGCTCACAGGGAGACACATCACCTACTTAATGCTGTGCCAGGCACTAACTTGCCTGCAGGAAGGGAGCTCCCTGCACAGCTGCAAATACAGCCCATGGGCTGCTTCCAGACAAAGCAACAGCTCCTGTGGAGTTCCTTAAGTTGCAAGACAAGCAGCTGCTTCTCACCAAGCAGGAGTCATCTGCTGCTGAGTGAAACAGCTGCTCCTGAAAGCTAGCTGGGAAAACAGTATCTGGGCCATGGAGCTGCAGGGTGGGATCTACTCTATACTTCAGGGTGGGGAAATAACAACTGAGGCACAGGAGAATGAGAGAGTCCTGAGGAAAAAAAGCAGGCAAGAGAGACAGGGAGAGGAGCAGCAGGAGGAGAAGGCAGTAGCAGAAAGGGAGGAAGGCAAGCAGGAATAAGCTTAACCAGCAGACAATGCAGGAGCACGCAGAAATCCCAACAATGTGAGCACCTTCAGGAAACCAAAAGGGAACAATGTGAGCAACCAAATGAGGCAAGAAGAAGGTCAAGTGGAGCTGACCTTGAAAACAATAGCCAAGGGGTTGGCACTGTCAGCCCCTTACTAACACACAGTTAAACTTCCTGGCTGATATTTCTGGAAGAGCAAGGGAGGATATGCAATCTACTCACTCAGCGCACTGACAGCAGCCAAGCACCTACCTGCTTTCTCTCAAGGATATACTCCATGGAGATGCAAGTTATCTCAGAAAACCTGTTGACATGTGTTAGAAAACAAGAACAGAATGTTCACTTAAACCTCTTGTTGGGTTATTTTCTGATGTGCAGCAGTGTCTGGAGGGAACCCAGCTCAGCTGGCTGATAGCTGCTACCCACGCTTAGATTTCCCCTGAGCTTGTTATCTCATGCTGTCAGGTAATGAACTGACACAACCACACCAACCTGCATCTGATTACTGCTCTTGACAGAGCAATGCTGGGGGCAGCAGGATGGAAAAACACTGCAGAGGGATTATCCCCCACCTCACTGTTAGAGATTGCACTCTTCCTTCTGCCCCACGGTGGGAGGGAAGGTGAGGGGAAGCTCCTCACCTGGCAACAACCATTGCCTTTCACCCCCTCACATCCATTTTGCAGCCTGCCTTCAGCATACATTCAAGTCTTAACACATTCCCATGGATCCCTTTCTGCCTTCAGGCATACTGACATCATGTGGGAGTCGACCTCTGTGGAGGGACAGCCATGTTAGGAAACTCGAAATCCAGCTGGATGCCTTTCCACACACAGTATATTTTTTAAAACTGTATTTTCCACATTTATAGTATATTTC